GAGCGAAAAGCACCAAAGCATAAACGTAATCCTTGGTGATGAATGGGGTTAAGGCTAGAGAGAGTAGCAGGAGATGCCGCTGAATAGATCTGGTCACCATAATCAAGTTTCAATAAAATAAGGGTGGAATGTAGGCGAAGGAGGGTTCGACGATCAGCTCCCCATGAAAGATGAGAAAGGGTTTTAAGAAGGTTCAGCCGGCTGTGACAAGTTGCCTTCAGAGAGGTAATGTGAGGTTTCCTGGATAACCTACGATCAAAGAGGAGGCCCAGAAACTTGACTGTATCACGTTCAGGGATACGGGAGCCATAGAGGTACAAAGGAAGATCGGAGATGACAGAACGTCTAGTGAAAGTAATTTGGTGGGTTTTAGTGCTGGAAAATTTAAAACCCACGTGTGTGGCCCAATGAAAACACGGTTGACTGCATGCTGGAGAGAAACTGTAATGAGGTGACAGTCAGCGCCTGCACAGGCAATAGCGAAGTCATCAACATAGAGTGATGACCAAATATTTGATGGAAGACTAGAGGCCAAATCATTAATATGCAAGGAGAAAAAGTGTTGTGCTCAGAACACATCCCTGGGGAACACCTTCAGCTTGGATAAAGTCAGGGAGAGCAATTATTAACCCGAACACGGAAATGCCTGTCAGTTAAAAAGTTCTTAAGGAAGGATGGTAGATTGCCTCGAAGGCCTAAGGAGTGGGCTTGGGCTAAAATATTATACCTCCAAGTTGTGTCATATGCCTTCTCAAGGTCAAAAAATATGGCAATAACCGAGTGGTTATTCGCAAGGCATTACGAACATACGTATCCAAGCGTAGTAAGGGGTCTATGGTAGAACGTCCCTTACGAAAGCCATATTGACGAGTGAGAGACTGTTGTATGTCTCTAAATACCACACTAAACATCTATTTACTATGCGTTCCATCACTTTGCAAACTGCACTGGTAAGGAGCAATGGGACGATAGTGGGAGTTTCATGTCCCGTAGTGCCTGGTTTGCGGAAAGGGAAAAACAATGGCTGATTTCCACCCAGCTGTGGAAGAACTCCTTGTGACTAAATAAGATTGTAAAGGCGTAATAGGACTGCAAGGCTGACTGATGTAAATGTTTAGCATACGAATATAATGTCGTCGGGCTCAGCTCCCGATGATCGGCAAGCGAGAGTGTTGCCTCCAGTTCTTGAAGTGTAAAAGGCACATTACTGTTCTTTTTTCTGAGGAAAAGTCAAGGGTGCTAACTCTCCTGGCAGACTTGAGAAGAAATGAGGGGGCATAGATGAGTCCCTGAGAATACGGACCAATGATTGCCGATTTCATTGGCAACATCTAGTGGATTTGCTATACCAACACTGGCAACCCGCAGAACAGAGCTGGGTCGAGAAATTTTACCCTCATTTTCGTACTTTTTTCCAGACTGCACTCATAGAGGAAGCAAGGTGATGGTGGAGACATAATCCCCGCCAGCAAGTGCGTTTAGCGTCACGGATGACACTGCAAGCGATCGAAACGCTTCTGCTTAAAATCAATCTCTCTGTGGTTTCTATTTGTACCGGTACCTGCCCATGCAGCGCATTTCAAACGTATTGCACGAGCACAAGCAGGAGACCACCAAGGCACGCTTTTCTAGAATGCCTGCCCGAATTTTTGGGGTATAGAATGAGAAGCTGGGGTTAAAAGGGAGGACGAGAAGAGTGTAAAAGCTCATCAATGGAGGATGAGAAGAAACCTCTCTAAAAACAGTTTAGGTGTGAGTAAAGTTCCAATTTGCCTGATCAAATTGCCAAGGGTGGATGCGAAGAGGTGGTGAAATGAAGGTAAGAAAAATGATTGGGAAATGACGCGTCGTAAGTCCGGGAGAGCAGACCAAGCGAAGTCTAAAAGCGGCGGAGGAAGAGAAGACTGAGAGATCGATGCAAGAGAGAGAGTGAGTCCGAGGATCAAAATGGTTGAGTACCTGTATTTAAAACATGGAGGGGGGGGGTGGCAAGAAAAGCCCTCTAACTGAATGCCATGGGAATCACAGTGAGACCCCCCCAGAGGAAATGGTGGGCATTAAAATCACCAAGTAACAGAATCGGTGGCGGTAATGATGAAACAAAAAAGGGAATATCCGGAATAGATAATGCCCGAGAAGGAAGAGATATAAAGAACAGAGCGTATACCACCTATGCAAGTGGATACGGCTGCTGTGTAATTTCAGTGAAGTACGAACAAATAGCTGATGGTATGGAATCAGTGCGTAGAAGGGCACTTTCATTAAAGGTCCCATCAGGAAAAGGATCTGAAGAATACAATAAATTATAGCCTGAGATTGGAGAGATAACAGCAGAGTGTAATTTTGGTTCCTGTAAGCAAACACCAACAGGGGAAAACTGGGAGAGTAACATCTGAAGCTCACCCCGATTACCCCTGAGGCCGCGTATATTCCACTGTAAATAGGCCATGATTGGCAATGATAAAGATACCTGAAATCCGCAGGTAAGGGTTCCTACGGACTAGGGGGGTTAGAAAAGTCCACATGCGGAGGCAGTGGAAAACGTTCAAGCAGCGAAGGAACGGTGCGCTGTGAAGAAAGGAGTTGCGCAGATGGAGCAGAAGAGAGAGAAGGAGCAGAGGGTGGATCAGTGTCCATTGATGGTTTGGTCTCTGCAATATATTCAGAGATTGCTTCAAGTGTTTCGGAATTCAGAGACGTCGTATGGGGACAATATTGGAAATGGTAGGGGGGGATGAGTAAAGATTGGAACTGTATTGGACTGTACCAAGGTAGGGGGGGGGCGAAAGGGTGGAGGGAACTGGAGAAGCGTGGAAGGGGACAGAAGAGGCAGAAACTTGGGAGGTGGCAGAAGAGGAAGAAACTTGGGAGGGAACAGGGGAGGAAGGTACAGTACGAGGAGGAGGGTGAACCTCTACACTTGTAACAGAGCTAGTGAGAGGGAAGAACCAGGTACAGAGACAGGGAAGGTAAAATGAGGAGGTGGAAGATGGTAGGAGGTGTTAACGACCTTTTTTTGACTTTTGAGAAGTAGAGGGACGATTGGGAGGAGGTGTCATATGAGATCTCGTCGCTACTGAGGCTTGTGAGAGAGAACACGAAGAAGCGAGATCAGACTGAGGCGTTGAAGTAGGGACGTCTGAGCCGAGGACAGCAAAAGAATAGATACAGGAGTGACTATGGGAGAGGTAACCACCGAGCTGGGTGCAGAAATGGGATACCAGAAGTGGGGGACGTTTTGAAACACGGGAATAAGAAACACGAGGGAGTCTCCCTTGGAGGCGGAGCTGAGAAACTGCCATGGCATAAGGGAGACCTGCCTCTTTGAGGTAACGGATTTCCCGCTCGTTTAAGTAGACTTGACAACGGCGAGAGTACGAAGGGTGAGCCTCATGACAATTAAGGCAAGAGGGAGGTCGATTGCAAGACATATTAGAATGGTCATCGGCACCACAGACTGGGCATTCGGCGATAGATCTGCAATATTTCGCTGGATGGCCAAATTGCCAGCAATTTCTACACTGTTGTGGTGTAGGGATCACCTTTCGAACTTGTAACCGATGTCCTGCTACATAAACTGAGGATGGGAGTTCACGGCTGTCAAAAGTTAAACGAGCCACATTGCTAGGGTATTGTCTCCGCCCACGGGCAGGAAGAACCTAAGTGTCTACCTTGAGGATTGGGAGATCTTTGAGTTCCAGCTGTTCAAGAATGTCAATGCCACATGTCTGGAAATTTTGTTGAACTATGGTATGGGGCAGAATGATGGTACCACTACAAGAATTGAGGGAATGATGTTTTTCAATAGTGACATGAACAGTATCGATATGAGAAAGACGAGAAAGCTCATGAGCCTGGGTAGCATTCTGTACGGTGATGATGCGCGTACCGCTCTTAAGAGCATGAAAGGAAATATCTTTACCAACATGGCGTAGGAGTGCCTTGCCAATACTGTGGTCAGAAAGATAGGCAGTAGAGGAAGTCGGTCGTAAAGTGAGTCGTAAAGTGAAGAATTTAGTCCATTGTGCAGTCTGAAACTGAGCGTGGAAAGGTAGTGAATGACGTGTCGATCTCTACTGAGAAGAACGAGAAGGTGGAGAAGTATCACCAGCAGGTAAATGTCATTGGCGTTTAGGCGTGGGACCAGAGTTGGTCCGACGTGGAACGGGTCGGCGATTCAAAAATTGCCGCACCGTAGAGGGAGAGGCCGGAAGCATAGTCAGAGGAGAGCAAAGGTCAGATAAATCAAAGGAGTCAGTCGAGGCCTCAGTACCTGAAACGGGTGAGGAAACAGCACCGGCAAGAGGTACAGAGGCATGAGGAGTGTCCAAAGAGTGGTCCAAAGACGAGGCGGGGTCAGAATGGGGTGCGGTATCAAGAAGGGGCCCGGGGGTAGCAGGTTCATGGACTAGGGCTGCCATGGTTAGGTTACTTCTTTCGTTTTGTTTTTAAGAAAAAAAAAGAAAGAAAAGAAAATAAAAATAAAAAAAGGATAAAAAAAGGGGGGACCAGGGAGGGATAGTTCCTAGGAGGAATGAAAGGGCCAGAAATCTCCCTCCGCACCCAAGAGGACCTCAGCACCGCAAGTAGCGCAGATGCAGCATGGAACCCGTGCCATACGCTACCGATCATGCCAGTAAACTAACAATCCGGGATAGCAACCTCACATCTGCCGAGCTACCTCGGTGGACAAAAGAGAGGGCGGCCGGAAATCCGCCACAAAGCATACCTCCTTCGGCCACCACCCCCGGAATCCGAAAGGTGGCTTCCAGAGATACACCCGTCGCCCGAGAGACACCCAAAGCCACCCTCCGGGATACCGGAGAGGGATCGGGACATCCCCAGGCAATCCAGATTCCACGGCAAACTACGCCACCGCCAAGAACCTCAACGGAATGGGATGGACCCCGGTACCCTTTCCCCTACCTAGGAACTAGTGTGCCTGTTGAAAAAAAAAAAAAAAAAAAAACGCCAAAAAGGAAGGGTCAAAGGGGGGGGGGGTAGGGAAGGAAAAAGGGGAGGATGGGATAGGGAACGGGGGATTGGGGGGTAATTAGGTTCGGTCCGAGGAAGGAGACCGACAGGTCTAATTCCTCAGACCAAGAGCCTCTTCACCACGCCAAGGAGCCTTGAAGAGGTCATGCATGTGTAGTGTGACCTAAGTGTAGCAAGACGTACCTGAAATTCTGCACATTTATGAGACAGAAAAAAGATACCAGCAATCCTACCATCATGTAAAACAATTACAGGTTTCCGTTTTACACTTGCTTGGCAGGACAGTAGTACCTTCCAGGGTGGTTGCTGTCTACCAACCTACTACCTATAGAAACGTTATCTATGGAGGCTATAAAAAAAAAGGGAATATATGAGAGTATAGTGGTGCCAATACTCTTATAAGGATGTGAAGGACTGGGTTGTGAACACTGAAGCGAGGAGGCAGGAGGGAATGGAGATGGCGTGTCTTGAGGGAAATGTGTGGTGTGAATATTCTGCAGAAAACTCATAGCTTGGAGATCAGGAGGAGGTGTGGGGTTACTAAAGTTATTATCTAGAGGGCTGAAGAGGGATTCTTGAGGTGGTTTGGACATTAAGTGAGAACAGGGGAAAATAAGATGACTTGGAGGGTGTATAAATCTGTAGGAGATGGAAGGCATGGGAGGATGGGGGGTCATCCTAAGAAAGGTTTAAGGGAGGTGGTAAAGGTGGTTTTGTGTTTGAGGGGAATGAACATCCTACAGGAGTTTGTGAGCATGTTAGAAAGGAGTAAGTAGAGGCAAATGGTTTTTGGGACTTGACAAGCTGTTGGGGTATGAGGAGTGGGATACAGGGAACCCAGTTAACTGCACTCGAGTCCTGGAGGTGGGAAGTACAGTGCCTACACTCTAGAGGGGTAGGGATGTTTGTAGTTTGGAGGGGCACTACCTCTCAAGGGAGGTTCCTTGATGCTAATGAGAAGCTCTTGATCTAGGGAATTGGATCTGTGCTCCAGTTACCTGAATTAAGCCTGAATACCTTCCATCCTACCCCCACAGGCACTATATAATCCTATGGGTTTAGTGCTTCCCCATGATTATAATTATAATAATGGAGGGGTACCTTAACCCTTAAACGGTCCAAACAGATCAACGTTCAAATCTGTAGTGCTCCAAGAGTAGATCAACATTTCTTTACATATTTTCAAGTATAACAAAAAAAAAAAATGTAGACGAAAGTTTTTTCACACATTTCCAAATGTAAAAGAAGAAAGAAGATCTACATTTTTTTACATACTTTCAAATGTTGAAAAAACGTATATATACGTCTGGACCATTTAGGGGTTAAATGTAGTATCGGAGCATTTCTGGCAAGACAGTGGTAAGAGTGAATGATGATGAAAGTGTTTCTTTTTGTGTCACCCTACCTCGGTGGGAGACGGTCAGTTTTGAAAAAATAAACAAACATTTTAGGTTTTCACCAGCATTCACAACATACAAACACCCCTTTTAAATAATATGCTCTGACACACACACCTTACAGTGTTGCAGGTAGAGATGATAGCTCCTGGGACCGATAATGATGCTGACTGTAATTAAGTGAGGCTGCCATGAGCTAGCACTCTGCTCATACACACACAATTTAGCGAGTACTCTTTCTTTAGTGTTATTTTCAAGTCTGTAACTCTTCGCACCCAGCATAAATTATTACACACTGTTCTGGCCAATGCTTCTAGCTTAAAAGTGTTTTAAGGCACATTGTAATTCATAGATGTAACAACACTCATCCTTATCTCTCCAAGTTGTCATCACTTGGCACTTTTAGAGTGGGTTGACTACAGTTCTTTTCATGCATCTCAGTCATTACTATACATCCACCATAAATACACGTATATTCCAGATGAAAAACCTCCTCATAAAAAAAACAGAAATGCATGGAGAAACATTATCTTTGGCAATTGCAAGATTTTGTACATCTGAATGAATAATTGAAGAAATGGCCTCAGTAATACATTACTTGAGAAGAAAATGATATTATATTAATATTTTCTAATAAGGAAAAATATGTTGCCTTGCCTTGGTGGGAAACGGCCGATGTGTTAAGAAAAAAATGCATTAGCTTTAAATAATTTTAAGGCAAAAATGAAGTGCCCTATATTATTAAATGTGTTGACAGAAGATGCTTAGATAGTTTATAAATCTAATAGCTGAATATGTACAAGATGGAAAAAATATCACTGACAAGAAATGTTTATTAATGATGACAGTAAAAATGTCTCCATTTTTTCTAATTATACAAGAAGAATGTGTCCAAAAATTCAATTTAGCAACATATTACCATATTTTAAACAACAAGGCAACTAAAATAATTTGTACCACAATTCCACAACATTCACTGGAAAGCATTATGTTCTAGACACTTGTTACAACTTTTCATTTCAGTATTGTAGTATAGAGTAACAATAGTCTTATCATCATCAAATAATATAGCTGCTTGGCACTCGCTGTCCCCATTACAACAAATATAATATACAAATTTTTAATTATCTAAGTGCAAAAAATGTAGATCTAAGACTATCATAAGGTAGAGGTCTCACACAAGTAATGTTGCTACATCAGTCCCATCTATACTGTTGCTACAATTTCTTAATTTCATGATACTGTATTGTGAAATTAATTTTGATACAAGATTTTTTCCTTGAGGCAAACTGCCACAACTACCTCATTTAAGTAACACCATCATGAACCAATTAGTAAATTTTGAAATGTCAAAGTGAATTATATGCTAAGTTTATTTACGATTTCGGACCTCATAACATCAGAGACTGATGTCTAACACGAGTCCTCCACAGTCATACACCTTAGCTTTTCTATGGACATTTATTTTATAAAGCTGTTTTACATTAAAGTAGCATTTACAATTTCGTACACCATTCTTCTTCTAAAATAGGGCATATGTTGCTGTTGAAATGTTATGGGAGCATTGCGGGACAAATACTCTGCAAACTTGCAGGCGAACATTCCACAGTCTGATCCGTTCATCTGTTGTGGTATAGACTGAAAAATAAACAAGGCCAAAGTTTAAATGTAAATTATGCTGTTTCCCATGAGGGTGTTTTGTCACTCAGCACAGTATATTTTGTATCAAAACAGTTGAATTTACAAGCTTGTCACTCAACCTAGTTGGATGAATCTTATTGTGGCTAGCTGGTCTAGTGGCTAACGCGATGGGCTGGAGTTTTGAGACTATGACCGCGGGTTCAATCCCGGCCGGGGGTATGGTTTATTTGCAATCGTGTCATTACGATTTCTTGAGTCTTGTCACTCAACATTTTTTTTGCATTTAAACAAGAATTTACAAGCTATGAACGTTATCCTACATCAGCTCATTTGAAAATCCAGCCCAATCTCGGGCACACTTCTACCTCCTAGGAAGTGACCCACAAAATTCAACTCACTGCTTGGTGCTTAGTGACTGCTCAGTGAAGAGGGGCAGCAGGTATAGAGAGATCTGTCTATACATCTCACTTCTGCCTGGAAATCAAACTGTTGAGTCCTCTAGCATTGAGCTACAGGTCGTCTTTATACAGTAGTACATTCCCTGGCAGAAAGTGCAATACAACACATTCTTTCATAGGTCCCACTCAAAATTTAACCTTACCTGTCAGCAGTTTTTAGTTTAAAATCATTTGTACACTTCTTTACTAATTCTTGCTGTGTAGCCCTTGTGGTTTAGCGCTTCTTTTTTATTATAATAATAATTTACTAATTTTTTTTTTTTTATTCTCTCTAAATGACCAAACCACCTCAACAACCCCTCTTCTGCCCTCTGACTAATGCTTTTATTAACTCCACACCTTCTCCGAATTTTCTGCATAATATTTACACCACACATTGCCCTTAGACAGGACATCTCCACTGCCTCCAACCGTCTCCTCGCTGCTGCATTTACCACCAAGCTTCACATCTATATAAGAGTGTTGGTACTACTATACTTTCATACATTCCCTTCTTTGCCTCCATAGATAACGTTTTTTGACTCCACATATACATCAACGCACCACTCACCTTTTTTCCCTCATCAATTCTATGATTAACCTCATCCTTCATAAATCCATCCGCCGACACGTCAACTCCCAAGTATCTGAAAACATTCACTTCTTCCATACTCCTCCTCCCCAATTTGATATCCATTTTTTCTTTATCTAAATCATTTGACACCTCATCACCTTACTCTTTTTCTATGTTCACTTTCAACTTTCTACCTTTACACACATTCTCAAACTCATCCACTAACCTTTGCAATTTTTCTTTAGAATCTCCCATAAGCACAGTATCATCAGCAAAAAGTAACTGTGTCAATTCCCATTTTGAATTTGATTCCCCATAATTTAATCCCACCCCTCTCCCGAACACCCTAGCATTTACTTCCTTTACAACCCCATCTATAAATATATTAAACAACCATGGTGACATTACACATCCCTGTCTAAGACCTACTTTTACCGGGAAGTATTCTCCCTCTCTTCTACACACCCTAACCTGAGCCTCACTATCCTCATAAAAGCTCTTTTGGATCAAAGTAGAATGACATGGAAAGCATATAAATCTATAGGGGAAGGAAAGAGGGGTAGGGGTCGTCCTCGAAAGGGTTGGAAAGAGGGGGTAAAGGAGGTTTTGTGGGCGAGGGGCTTGGACTTCCAGCAAGCGTGCATGAGCGTGTTAGATAGGAGTGAATGGAGATGAATGATACTTGGGACCTGACGATCTGTTGGAGTGTGAGCAGGGTAATATTTAGTGAAGGGATTCAGGGAAACCGGTTATTTTCATATAGTCGGACTTGAGTCCTGGAAATGGGAAGTACAATGCCTGCACTTTAAAGGAGGGGTTTGGGATATTGGCAGTTTGGAGGGATATGTTGTGTATCTTTATACGTATATGCTTCTAAACTGTTGTATTCTGAGCACCTCTGCAAAAGCAGTGATAATGTGTGAGTGTGGTGAAAGTGTTGAATGATGATGAAAGTATTTTCTTTTTGGGGATTTTCTTTCTTTTTTGGGTCACCCTGCCTCGGTGGGAGACGACCGACTTGTTGAAAAAAAAAAAAAAAAAATTTACTAATTCTCACAGTGGTAGTAAGCAATCTTTTAGATTGCTTACTACCACTGTGAGAATTAGTAGAAGACAGAGGGATTGCTGGAAATAATACACTCAAGTGAGTCAGAGAAATCTTTCTTTCATCAAACCAGTTGTATCCCACCAAGGCAGGGTGGCCCAAAAAGAAAAGCAAAAGTTTTTTTTAACTTTAGTAATGTATACAGGAGAATGGGTTACTAGCCCCTTGCTCCCGGCATTTTAGTCGCCTCTTACGACATGCATGGCTTAAGGAGGAAGAATTCTGTTCAATTTCCCCATGGAAAAGTCAGAGAAATATCAGAAAGATTTCTTTGGCATTACAGTTGTAAAGAGGTGAAATTAATTAACAATGATACAGTGGGAGCAGACTCCATACAAGGAATAAAAAATAGACAAGACAATGCTTTTTCATGTCAAGTGGTCAGAAGTGATGAGGCAAGACCAAGAGCTAGAACTCAACCCCATGCAAGCTCAACTAGGTAGTTACATATGTCATCTCATAAAAGAAATTGACAAAACAGTGTACATGGGAGAACAACAACTTACATGATTAAACATTCATACAAGGCTATACAAAGAGTTGAAATGCAAGCTTATCATGTTTAAGACAAGAGCTAAACTCATCATGGTCATATAGAGCTACAAGGAAGAGGTGAATGAAATGGGAGAGATAGACAAAGGAGGAGACTTACAAAGGCCATCAATAGAATGAAAGGAGGGAAAAGTAAGGACCATAGTTGATGAAGCAAATCTAAGTGAGTTAAAAAATGTTGAAAGTCTGCATGAAAGGTGCAACTGCTAGTAAGAAAGGCAGAGAAATTAAGCATGTAGTCACTGAAGGAGGTGGTTGAAATGAAGGTGGTGTGCATCCTGATGAACAAATTAATCTATCATGAGATGTCTGGAGGGTAAGAGAAGAGGAATATGGATACACTGAGCACTAGTCTAGATTCAAGGGTGATGGCCCCTCAAGGAAGGTTCCTTGATGTTGGTGAGGGGCTCTTGATTTAGGGAATTGGATCTGTGCTCCAGTTCCCCAAATTAAGCCTGAATGCCTTCCACATCCCCCCCCAGGTGCTGTATAATCCTCCGGGTTTAGCGCTTCCCCCTTGATTATAATAATAATAATCAAGGGTGATGGGATGTAATTGCTACTTCTCTATAAAGGTTCTACAAGCAATTGAGATGTCAAAACATATGAGTTTATTAATTGATGACTTTAGGTCATCCATCCTAACATCCAGAATACTTCAAGAAGTGTTAATACGAGCAGCAGAAATTTACCTAAAACGGCTACCATTTTTTTAAGCCAAACTGGCAGATTATATGAAGAATTCTGAATATATATTTTTAACCTGTTAGTTACATGGAAAGATGCTTGGTGTAGAGATTTATATTTCTCACATATCTTACTTTAACATTGGTCAATATCCAGTCACTTGCATTGTAAGGAGATTTCTTTTTGTCCTCGTGCTCAGATATTAGGTAGTCAAGCAGAGCCTGAAAATCAAAGAATTAAGAAGCATTAGTAAAGTTATCTGATATAGATTCTATTTGACGACTTATTTTCTAATTAAAAGATAGATACTTTAACAGATTTTTTAATACATTGGTCATCTCCCACTGAGGCAGGGTGACCTGAAAAAGAAGAAACAAAAGTTTTTCTTGTTTACATTTAGTAATTTATACAGGAGAAGGGGTTACTAGTCCCTTGCTCCCTGCATTTTAGTCTTATGATACACGGCTTACTGAGGAAGGATTCTTCTCCACTTTCCCATGAAGAGTTGTAGTTATGGTCCACAAGAGATACTTTCTTTTGTAAAGAGAAAAGGTTTATCAGAAGTATAGATTGGTCAGCAACAATTACTTTGTATGCAGAAATGTAACTCAGCTTTGTGGAAAATGGTCAATATGGCAAGAACAACCAAGGTGATATGTGGAGCAAACCAATTATGATTCATAGTTTAAAACAGACTACCAAAAGTAAATCCTGTACTGTATTATGCAATAATCACAAACAAGCGATACAAAATGCAAAACAACCACAGGGGAAATTGAATGACAGCTATAAGCCTTTTGTGTTGCGATCAACACATCATCAGGAGCTTGTAATATTGCAGAAAGAGGAGGAACTCCAAGCAAATACATTCAGAGGAAGCATCTTTGCTCGAATGAGGGTAGAGGCAGGTGATAAGTGCCAGGGGCACTTATTTGCTTGGAATTTCTACATTTTTTCTGAAACACTGCAAGCTCCTGATGATTGCAACACGAAAGGCCTAGAGCTGTCATTCACTTTACCCCCGTAGTTGCACTGCACTGTATATTAAAGCACCTTAGAGTGAAAACTGAAAATACGATGGTAAATCTCTGGGATGCATATTCAGCTTAGATACATAATTGAAAAATCATCTCTCTCCCTATAATCAGAGAAAGTATCATCTTACTTCTAAACATTGGTCGTTGGTACCCAGCATGGAGTCATAGTATTGGATTGATTTTGTCTGGAAGTCAATTGTAGCCAGACACCAATGCATTCCTAGATGAACTGGTACAAGGAGCAGATCATACGTGAACACATCAACCTGGTGAAGACAACTTTTAAATGCACTGAAGCTTCAACCAAAAATAGCTGTTAAATTTTAGTTACATTTTAATTTGATGCACTAGTATTTTCATTCATACAAACCACACAATCCATCTATACCCCTTATATCTGGGGTGGCAAACTTTTTGCACTCATACCCAAGATGGAATGTGAACAAAAATTTTGTTTGCATGTACCATGAACTTCTGACCCAAGAATTTTTTTTTGCTTCAGTTCTGACCATCATTTTCTCCAGTTAAGTCTCAATAAAACAAAGATATACAAGAAAACAATAATAAACTAATGAAACGTATAATAAAATGCTTGATATCTTTAACAATTACAACATAATGTCACATCAAATGTAGTTGAGTGATTATTTATTGGTAAAGTGATTTGTAAACTGCAGTATTGTTTACTATTCTGTTTTGACTTCAAATTACTATCATAAATATTTGCACTGTATCTACCGTGTCTCAGTTTGTCCACAATGTCAACTCAACCAGCAAATAAACAAAAAATGTTCAATATTTAATAAATTTGAACTGATCTATGCTATACACAGCACAATTTAGCTAAAAAAAATTACACAGCAGAGATTTTAAAAAATCATAGAGTGAAAGATTAGGCATGATCAAAAAAGGGGCGATAAAGCATTATGAATCTTATTTTCTGAAATAGTAGTATGGTAGCCATCTTGAAGTGTTTCATACTTAATCTTTTTGCTAGCATCCTTGTCAGAGTGTATGTTTCACTCTGAGCAGACAGAGGATCTAGCCTCCATCACGTCTAGTGCTGAATGCCCCACGTGGGTATAGTGCTTAATATTATTTACTTCTTTAATTTTTGCCTAAAAAGAATGTTAGCAATAAAGTCAGCTAAAATACCCAATACTGTATTCATGTTAATCTACATGTATTTTAATACAGAATTCATGGATGATGGGTAGTCACTATGGCAGCCATATGTATTCCTCAAGGATGAGAAGGCGGTACCCACTTTATTATCAGTCTAGACACCACAGAGCTTCAATATCAGCTAAGAACAAATATGCATCATAAAATTCCAGGTTTATCCACCTTTTCACCAGACTATTACCTAACTTATTTTCTAAAGCACCGGCTGCATCCCACCAAGGCAGGGTAACCCAAAAAGAAAAATGACAGCTTTTCTTTTTACATTTAGCAATTTATACAGGTGTTATATTATGCAATATCCAGTGAAATAATTAATGTAGCCTCTTTAAACTAAAGCTTCAGAAGTAAGAAAGACAATTTAGAGAGTGGTGTAGGTAAATTTTGGGTGCCAGTGAAAATGATATGGGGAGCATCTGACTGAAACTTTAGTATAAAAGGGGGTTTGTAAGAAACACATATTTTAAGAAAAAGATAAATAAGTATACAAGATACGATGTAGGGCGAAATGACAGGATGTACATGTTTATAGAGGGCCACAGATATATCATATTACTTTTTAGTTGTAGAATACCGTAGGAGTACAAGGTGATTGGATAAAAAGGAAAATAAAGCAGCAGTAAGATGAAGTGAACGTTTATAAAACTAAAGTATGAGGCAGTTATAGCTGGTAAGATATAAACCACTGTTTTTGAAGACAGATGGGCTATGAGAATACAGGCAAAGGTCGAAGATGTATGGGGTAAGTTCAAGAATAAAGGTTATAGTGTACAGCAGAAGTTTGTGATACAGAATGTGGTGGCGGAGGAAGAATGAGTTTGGTGGAATTAAGATGTAAAGAAGCAGTAAAAGAGAAAAAATTATCAAGAGAGTTTTACAAATAGTATAAGTGATGCCAAGGAGATAGATTACATGGAGAGAAGAGAGGTTTTAAGTGTTTTATTAATAAAAGCATGGAAGCGGGTAAGTACCTAGGAATTGCAGAGAGCATGCCATAGTTCCTTTGTATAAAAAGCAAAGGGTACAAAAGAAGTGTAAAAATTAAATAGGGAAAAGTCGGTGAATATACCTGGTAAAGTGTATGGTAGAGTTATTACAGGGAATTACGATACGACAGAGAGCATGATACATAATAACAAGTATGCATTAGTAAATGTATGGAGTGGTAGACCAAGTGTTTGCAGTGAAATTGCATAAGTGAACAGTATAAAGATAAGGGTAAAGAGGTTTTGTGGCATTTAAGATTTGAAAAGGATATGATAGGGTGGATAAGGGCAAGTATAGAGGTAGGTTACTGAAAGCGGTAAAAATTTTTAAGAGGATAGTGAGTCTCACATTAGAGTATGTAGGCAAGAGGGGATTTATTTCTCAGTAAAAGTAGGCCTTAAACAGGGATGGTGATGTCACCAAGGTTGTTCAATATATGAATAGATGGAGTAGTAAGAAAGTGAATGCTAAGGGGTGTTGCAAGAGGTGTGGGGTTAAAAAGTTTAAAGAAGCTAACACAAAGTGGTGAGTTGTCACAGTTACTCTTTTGCTGTGACCCTGTGCTTTTGGAATTCTGAGAGAAGCGTGCAGAGATGGGTTGATGAGTTCTTGGTAGGGTATGTAAAAGAATTAACTAAAAAGTGAATATAGGAAGAGTAGGTGAAGAGGATAACAAAAAAAAATTAGGTACAGAAGATTGGATATAAGCAGGACAAGGCCTCGTAACCCCTTCTCCTGTATAAAATTTTAAATTAGTAAAGAGAAACTTTCGTTTTCTTTATTTGGGCCACCGAGCCTTGTTGGATACGGCTGATTTTGTTGAAAAAAAAAAAAAAATGGATATCAGACTGAGGAGAGAGATGGAGGATGTGAATGTGTTTTAGATATCAGGAGTGGACAAGTCAGCAGATGGGTCAATTAAGATTAGGCGAATCATAGAATGACGGTGGGAAAAAAGGCCAAGCGGTGCCAGAGGATTCTGTGGGGAACACAGAACTTTATCCATGAAAGCAAAGATGGGACGTATTAGAGTAATAGTTATACCACTGCTCTGTATGGGTGAGGCATAGTTTGAAAGTGGCAACAAGAAAGGCTGCAGGCAGTGGAGATGTCATCTGAGGGCAATGTGTTTGTGAATAAATAAATGCAGAAAAACCATAGTTGGAGATTATGAGGTGTGGGATTACGAAAACTATATCCATGATGGCTTAGGACGGTTACTGAGATTGTTTGATGGACATATAAGAGTATGAACAAATAAGTGACTTCACAAGAGTATACAAATGTGTATGGAGGGAATGCGAGTAGGGTCGCCTAGGGAAGGTTTGAAGGAGGGTAAAGGAGGTGTGTGGATAGGGCTTGGCTCCAGCAAGCGTTTTAGACAGACAAATGTAGACTAATGGTTTTTAGGAACTTGACGTGCTGTTGAGTGAAAGCAAGGTAACATTTATGAAGGATGCAGGGAAACCGGCAGTCCGGACATGAGTCCTGGAGATGGGAAGTACTATGTCCTACAC